TATTTGAATAACAGTATTGAGTTACACAAGCATATATTGGCACTAAACATAGCAATGAAGAATGTGTTTTCATCGAGGAATGACTTCAAAGATGAGTTAACAGACCAATCTAGTAAATCATCTAACCACTCCTCGGATGACCTAATTGAAAATTCTGGAATAAATACTAATAATAGCATTCAAAGTCACACTTGTAACCGAAAGAATCTACCGAGAATAATAAATGACGTGCCTACTGGATTATCCGATCCTCAAAATATGAAATTTGTGTTTCCATGTAGGATACAGTCAGACTTAAAAAAAAGTCAAAATACCATTCTCCATTCAGCACCCGAAAGAAAAAAAACAGCATTCCGATACGAAAAAGAATGTTCACCCTTCTGTTGCGATCGACAAGGCAGTGGTTTGCAAGTACCCAGAGAATCTAGAATCGGAAGTATTACCCAAACAACACGAATAAGTACACCAATCCTATCTGCTGACTTATTTAGACAAAAAGCCCATTTGGACGTAACAGACACGAAGCAACCAAGTCAATGTAATGTTCTTAATTTTATTCAAAAGTTGCAACACACTTCTCAATGACTTGAGATTTATGAAACACCAAGGAAAGTGACAACTACATAGGATTCTAGTTATACCTTCTTTCAGGATCATTACTAATAGTTGATCTATCTTCTTATGAGATCCACAAGTTATTTTTTTAAATAAGTTTTCGAAAACTGTCGCAATAACTTACATATTCTTAAATTTAAAAACTTAGTGTTCGCAGCTCTAGAAGAGAAGTCAATTCTTAACCTAGTTACTCCATCCATTTGGTTTAATATATTATAGTTTCGTTTATGTCCTAAGTTTAAAATCACAGATAATCAGAATCTGTTTAGAATGATTACTGATGTGTGTCCCGGATATTATTAGATACAAAAACATATGTTTATTCAGTGTGCCACTTTTCTTAACTTTCATTTTGGATCGATATTGTAATCAACCTATAATATAGTATCATGATTATTCAAAAATCAATTACTTCTGATATAATCAAGCTTTATCACTAAGTTGATTGGATGCGAAAATACCAGCCATTTGTGTTAAGCATAAGGGTGAAAGATAACATATTTGCTGACAAGTACTGGTGAGGCGTCGTCGTGTAAACAAAAACGGCTCAGTTCTTGATTCTCAATTATTTCGCTGAAGGCTCAAGTCAGGTGATTTGCACCACAAATGATAATGGACATGAAATACTTTTTTACAATTTACACTAAGAATGCAATAGATAGTTTCCGAAAACTCGTCGGTGCTTCTTTGCATTTACCCGGTTGAAAAGATGACTCACTCAACCTTCCACTCTATGGTGAGCGACTTAGTGAGTGTCAGTCTGTTGATTTCAGGACGCATATTTTATACAATGAATTACCTTCAGGTTTTAAAGTAACGGAATAAAGTAAGCTTTTCGTAAACTGGTTAACTTATTTAAGCCCTGATCGTTAAAATCAATGATCAACTCATTAGACAATCACTCAAGTTAGTAATTCATCAAATATACTGGTACCAAATTGAGATGAACTCAACCAAACTCGAAGTGAAGGGTAATTTGAGTGCTCAGAATAAATAGACCAACTAGATATTAGACATGAATTGATTTCCCAAGACGTGCTGTGTACACACATCCCGTGGATGAGAATAATATCAAACGGTGTAGGTATGAACACCTGAATAGGAGCAATTTATGACAATATAGTTAATTTAAACCCGAAGAAGCAATGGCCTTAGTACATGCAGTCGAATACACTATTATAGAAAAAATACTGTCGACACTGTTTCACGTGACAAAATTGGGTCGTTTACCCAAACTCGCAAGAATTTAACCGATCTGATGACACTAAAACAGTTATGATAATTCGATTAAGATTCGTGAGAAAATTACTAGGGAATCATACCAAACAAAACTAAAGGTTGAGATATCTGTTGTGAAATTACCGTGATCAGGAGCAAGTAAAATACCAAGTTCTTTGAACAGGTGAGGGTAATATATTTATGAAACGAATGATTAGTCGGCAGGTGTTACAGAGAAACTACTGAAAATACCATCCTAGGGAAGGTAAAATATGTGGTTGAGAGGAAATGAGATGGTACCAAGAGCATCTGAAGCGGGTTTTCAAAGGAATCAGGCTTCGAAATCGATTCGACGCCCTTTGAAACTGTTTTAGTTGAGCCCAAAGTAGCTAATGAGATCATACTCGTAACTTTTATTGAATTTTGATCTCGCTATTCAAACGATTTGTTGCCTGTTGATTAACATCCGTTTTAACTACCTAACAAAAACATAGCGAGTAGACTGTCTCAAATGAATATGTAGAACGAATTTCGATAAAACCAATAAATAGGAATAAAAAGTAGTTGACAAAGTCTACTCTGAATCACAATACACGTCGTTAAATCACAGAATAGACCTTGTGACCACTACTAAATGTAATTGTCCACGAAATCTATGTTTAAAGGGATAAAAGGTAAATCATAGTGAGTGGATCGAAAATTCTAGCGTAACTAGATGTTATTTCCTTTATTCGTCTTAGGAATAATGAGACAAAACAGAATATTCCCCACTGAAAATCACTTCATACTATTCGCGACACTTTACAACAAAATAGTTTGTGTTCTGAACACTTAGGTTAAGATTGAGAATACAGAAATCCAATTAAATATTATAGAGTCAAGGTGCTTGTATGATTTTTGATCATTTTACGTAGAATAAATAGAGCAAGAACAAAGATTGGTGCAGAATAATATGAATTCGTTTTATTTCGTTAGGTTCTCATCAGCTACTTACAACCTAAATTATTTGAAATTCAAATTCTTTCTGTTCTGTGAAACAATGTTTTGACCAGTGCCTTTTTGTAACTGATTGGACAAAAGTTATTGAAATTAAGATAACCGACGGTGTAGCGATGGGAAGTCCGTTAGGTCCTGTCCTAGCAGATATTTTCATGGCTAACCTCGAAAAAACGGAACTCAAACGAGCGATTGATGAAATGACGTATTATTCGAGGTATGTTGATGATACCTTCATCGTATGTAATAATAAACAACATGCAATAAGTCTGCTAGAGTTTTTCAACAAAGCACATCCGAATATCCATTTCACTATGGAACATGAAAAAGAAAACAAGTTCCATTTTCTCGATATCGCGATGAAAAGATGGTACGATTCAACGTTCAGTTTATAAGAAAGACACATGGAATGGTAGTTATCTTAATTTCAATAGCTTTTGTCCAATCAGTTACAAAAATGTACTGGTCAAAAGACTGTTTCACAGAACAGAAAGAATTTGTACTTCCGATACACTAGAAGAGGAAGTTATGAATGTTAAAAAATGTTTAAAGAATAACGGATACCCACTGAAATTTATTGAAAAATACGGCAAATGTGAAGATAAAAAACCGAAAGAAATTACAGCAAATAAAAAGTCAATTTTTATTCAACTTCAATTCAAAGGTGACGACATCACAGGATCAATCAATATGAGACTAAAAACTGCACTGACGAGAACTTATCCTGCAGCGAAATTGATTGTCCTGTCCCAAACAAAATGTTCTTTGACACAATCAGAGGTCGACAGGTATCCCTTTCATGTCACCACCAACTGTGTATACAAATTTACATGTACCTGCCAAAGCAGTTACATTGGTAGAACAGAAAGGAGAGCCTACGTCCGATTCAAAGAACACATTCCGAAAAGTTTAAGGTTAAATGGATTGAACGCATTCAACAGTGCTATCGCAAGACATCTCCTTGATACAGGACATGAAGTTGATATGCTGAAGTCCTTCAAGGTGATTAACAAACAATCAAACTCCAACCTTTTGAAATTCGCTGAAGCGTTAGAAATCAAACGTTTAAAACCAGATCTATGTATACAAAAAGAGACAGTAATAAATCTTTCTTTACCCTGGTAACAATAACCCCCACCCTTTCTATTCATTTGCTCCTATTTATTTATTTATTGCGTCATTATTGCAACTCTTTCTGAAGTTTAAATTACATCATACATAAATGATTGGTTTTAATTCATATTTTCTTTATTACTATTAATCTATTTTCATGAGTTCTAATCACTATTTCAATGTTCCAGAACTTTCACTCTCTAACTTTATTTATTTATTCGAATCAAACATTTTATGAGCTCATGAACTCTATATGAATATTTGCTACATCATCATACACATGTATTGATCCTTGATCACACTCTTATGTATAAATATGTCAATATCTGTTATAATTTGAATTTCAAATAATTTAGGTTGTAAGTAGCTGATGAGAACCTAACGAAATAAAATGAATTCATATTATTCTGCACCAATCTTTGTTCTTGCTCTATTTAAGATAATAAAGGGAACTATGTGTATGAAATTACTTAGAATACGTGAACTAGAGCATCTCAATATGAAATGAGGTCAATTCGAATATCAAATAACCGAATGGTGTACTTTTAATAAAAATTGGAAATGAGTTTGTTAAATCACATAGACAGACTAATGACCATTAATATATCTGAAGGGTTGAAAGCATTTTTTTCCTGTTTGGGCATATAAAAATACAGAATATGCAGAGAATGATTTTATTCACAAAATGAAAATTATTGATCGTAAAACACAAACGTCGACTTCAAATGAAAATGAAGTAAAACATGTTCGTAAGCAAAAAACACTGGGTTGAAACGAAATGACAATAAGAAACAAGATTTTCAAAACTATAAAATGGAAACAAAACGTAATGCCAATTCAACATCTACATATATCGAAAAGTGAATGATACAGTAAGTAGATAAACAGACATAAACCGTCTCCATAAGAGACACAAAACTACAGTAACAAATAACATAACGGGAGAGATGATAATTACGATTATATCTCACCAATCCAAAGAAAACATGCTTGTAAGGTTTAGGGTTAAATAAGCTATACGAACACATGTTTCAGGAATGAAATCCAAGGGAGTAAATTTATTCCTTTCGTGAACGTCGTTTTCTAATAGACTGTTTTGCAGCCGCTTTCTGAAATGGATAATATAAACTTAATAAAATAGACATGAAAGTGACTTGAATGACTATTAAACAATCCACATAAACATCTAACCAATTTTAAAGTAACCACTATACTGGGGTCATTTAAGAACCAAGATTAACTAAATATGTCATACCTCGGTTTCTCCAGATTCATCAGGAGTTTCCTCTCCGGAGTTATCTCTGCTGCTCCCTGTTTTATTTGCGGCTGATTCATCACCGGAGCCTTTAGAAACTTGGACAATATCTTCTTCGCCAGATTCTTCTAATTCTTCGGTTTCTGCATTTCTTTCACCAACATGTACATGAGAGTCATCTGGCGTGGACATATCCGTCTTCTTGCGCATACCAATATCATGTTGTTTGGATGGTGACCGGCACATGTAGATACAGCATAAAAGAATGGGTAATGTACAAACAAGGCCAACTACAAAGATGAGCCAAGGTTTCTCATTATAGGTCTCTCGTATAGCATCCACAACACTTTGCTGTAAATAAAAAACAAATGGTCGATAGATAAAAACAAAAAGAACCCAAGCAATGGCATAAAATCTCTACAAACTGACAAAAGACATTTGAATTATTATTAATAATACAACACAGCAGTCCAATCAGAAAACAAGATGGCTAATGAACATTATCGTATATTGAGTTGATAAACAAGCTGGGATAGTACACTTGTGACGCAGGGGTAAAACAAGAAAACGGAAAACAAATAAGCAGCTTCAAATTGTTAGACAGGATAAATAGAATTTAAGAGTAGTTCAAAGACAAGAGCAAAAGATCTAATACTTAATAACTGAGTTGTATTACCTTATCTTAATAATACTATGAAATATTCGATTAGATTACCTAAAATCTAGCTACGTATATCACAAAAGAAAACGAAACTCCAATATTCAAAACCGAAAAGACTTACTGCTTTCGGATCGGCTAATCTTTCAGCTTCCTTTTTGATTGTCCATGTTTCTTGAGCAAATTCATCAGCCGCGCGCTTTGAATCAACAATCAGAAAGTTGTCAAAAGTAATGCCGTCAGTCATTGACCATAATTCTAGACCTATCGCGTTCTAGGAATAAAGTTAAGGTAATCGAATTATGAATATGAATAAATTTTGGACCACAATAAACGTAGATTATTTGTTAATTTAACATTCAAAATAGTCAAATACGAACGTAAATACAACAAACAACTTAGCAACAATACTTTACAAGCTATAGCGTTGCTTAAAAAAATGAAAACAAGAAAGTGGTCACAGGAAAACTGTGAGAATCGAATTACCAACAATGTCTGGAAAAGTGGGATGAGAGAGATACAAGTTGTTGATTTCACATGACCGACTCCAGTAAAAGCTGTATGTTGCTAGATCGCAATTTCAAAAAGACATCCAGCAAAATTCTACTCGATAATATGGAACAATATATTCACCAGAATCACGAACAAGACCATAAAATGTAACGATGAGAACAATGGTATCATTCATAAAGACATATCAAACTGACTGTAAAACTAAGCAACAAAAATATTTATTACACAAAAATTCGATAATAAAACATGGACGTTATGTAGATATCAGGTTTTCAACACTTTTACTACTACAGGAAGGTGTAACACATCAAGAATGAAAAAAATCGATTCTACATCACCTAATGAACAGGTAATTTACAGGTTTATATAAAAGCAAAACCATATTTACAGTTGTCAAACCAATAATGTATTGATTAGTGTGACAATTGATAACCAAACTATATGGACAGCTAACATTGAGAAAAGAATTATCAAGTTGTAAGAGTGGATGTTGTGTACTCGTGAGTATTTGATTTTGTATTTGCAGTTATAAATCTCACGAAAATAAGAAAAAGGAAACTAGAAACCAACCATGGATAACATTGTCCAATCAGGTGAAATCGTTTTTACGGTAAGCAGCGGAATTTGAAGAGAATTATTTTAGTACATTTCGATGGTAAGCTGGTACTATCACATCTAACTAGAAAAATACTTTACGAGATGAGTTGCAGAGTTCGTAGGAAGTATAGAAACCTCATATAAGACTTTGTTATGAAGTTTTCAGGATCCATCTAGTCATTATCAAGGTAGGAGATAGCATGAATGTGTACTGACCCAAGTTGTGACACTAAATTAGCACACTAAGAGAAAACTGACAACATGATAAACACAAGATCGGAAACAATATATAATGCTATAGAAGTTCAAACCTGAGAAGTACAATTCAAAAAGAATAAACAAAGTCAATCTATTCGTTCGCCAGTCTGTGTAGAAACAATTCTAAACCGATACAACCATCTATTACTTTACAAACCATTGTTCTCATCGACACTAGATATCAAATGAGTTTACATGGTAATAATGATAAGGTCGATGTAAAAATAATACAACGAATGACCAATAATATTGTTGCAAAATCAAACCATTAAAACAAGAACAGATTTCACAACGTCGAATAACATAAGAAAAATATATTCAATAATCATCATATAGTACAACTTAAATTAAGTGCATCACCTACCACTTCAGCTAAGCTCTTGAATGGATTCTTTTCTTCAAAATAGTGAGGGTTTGGAATTTTCCTTGGTGTCCAAATACCCTTATAATTTGGATTAGGAATCATTGGAGCAGACCATTTGCCCTTGTATTTTGGATTTGGTATAATTGGTCGTTGCCATTTACCGCACCCAGGTGCACTAGCGCATTTAGGATTATTTATTTGTGGTGCAACCCACTCACCGTCCATTTCACGATCCCTACAAAATTAAATATACAACTTCAAACAACTGAAATGGTTAATTAACTTGCACCCACACTAACAGATTTAATAAATTCAATACGATAAGTATATATATATATATATATATATATATCACGAATGATCGACAGTAGGCTTTAGTTATAGTCTTAACAGTTACACAGTAACAAGAGATTAGAAAAAGCATGATCTAGGAAAGCACTGAACTCATTCCATTTACTATACTTCCTACTAAAACAAAGAAAAACAGATGCTATGTCGAAAGAACAAGAGTTGATAAGTTCAGCAAAGATCTGTTATCAATGAAGTGGAGACTAATAGAGTGATTTTCAGTAACCAAACTAGTACTATACTAAGGGTTAGTTACTTTTCTGTCAACACTCTAACACTGTTTACTGAACGTCAAGAGATCAATATGACTCAGGAATAAAACTAATATTAACACAAAAAATGGAGGGCTGTCTAGTTATCCAAAAGTAGAGTTATCGACAACGTAAAACTTAGCACGAATGTTTATCAGTTCAAGTTACAGCAGCTTATACTCGTACAGAGTATATCAACTGAGTCAGACAAGTGTGATGAATTCAGCAGGCGTTTTTTAAAGTTTCTAGTTTATTCGATAAGGAGGAACACATAATTAATCAAACTCTTAGATTTCAAAGTTAGGATCTTAGGATTTCATACGTAATATATCAATATATACTCGGTCAATTTAAGGAAGAATAATTTCAATCGGTTAAAGTGACTAAACAAAGCGCTTTGAATTTTCGGACTATACTACAAACGTGAACATGGTTTCGTTATACACACAATAGCATAAATACTCTTAGAATCAATTTCGTTAGTGAATATTTGCTCACTACTGGTGACATTTATTACATTGAACATATAGTTGTAATATAATGTATAGCACAATCGGTAGGGATGTAACCATCTACACTAATGATTTATAAAACCTTTAAATCAAGAAACTGGGAACTACTAGTTTTGCTCCCTATAGATAATTTGTTCATCTAGCCGTGGACTGTGATAAGAATGGAAAAGACTCACCAGTCTTTTGGAGGTACTGCAGAAGGATCTGGAATCATCTCTGGTTCATCATCAAGCCACCCGGATGGTTTCACGGCACTTTCATCTTCGATAGTTGCGGGAGCATCTTCATCCCAGTCATCCGGCTTCTTGGCATTTGTATCGACAATCTTTTCTCTTTCGTCCCAATCACTTGGTTTTTTATCGTCAGGATCATCAATTTCTTTGGGAGGATTAACTGGAGGACTAAAACAAGATTATTTACGTTGAATGGGCTTGTGTAAGGAAAAACATTACGGGAAACCGATGCTATGATTATCCGAGGATGTTAGTCATAAGCCATCGGGAAATAAATTCGAAAACAAACTGTATAAACGATTCTTAAAAAAATTGGTGAGACTAATTACGCTAATAACATGCTTTCTAAGCAGTTATAGGGATGACGTATGTCCACTAATAAAATGATAAGTATATACGTAATAAACTGCTTGTGGTAATACCCATTTACCATGTAAATTTCATGAACCAAAAATGAGATACTAACATCAATCCAGTTTGTTTTGTAGAACTACTGAGACCAGCACTTACAATAATAATGTAATTCTAATGATGATGTTTTCACTTCTTTGGGCGTTGTATCACGTTGATATTGGTGAACATACGACGATTTCATCACACTCTCAAAAATAACACTATATGTTTTCAGTAACTCATCTTTTACCAACGCACTAACAGACTTGAAATATCAGTCAGTCAGCTACAACGTAGGACCAGGCACATATGTGCCTCGGTTCAAGTTGCCATACCTTATTGACACAAGATGAACACCGAATTCATAGAAGTACTTAATTCAGTGGTGGTAATATATAAAAGAAATATGTAGAAATAACAATCCCGTTCTGTAAAGCGATTACAAAATAGAATCCTTTGTTTACATGTATTGGGATTTTATGCTTTAATATTGCTATTTGCTTTATATTTATTTCAAAAAGTTCAGTTTTTGGGATCAAACGCACTAGTAACTTAGCATTTTAGTTCAAGTGTAGCAACTGGAATGAAAGCAGTTATCAGGATTCAATTTTTAAGACAAATTTGCCTGTGCATACTCTTTAACCGGTCTTGTGCGTAATTATACCATACACAAATTGATAGTCCTCGTAATGTTTTAATGTCGGTTACATGGTTTCGACAAGCAAACACTTATTGAAGAATGCAGCTAATAATCTAAGATTTTTCGAGCTGGAAATGAGAAATTTAATGTATTTCAGTCGCTCTGTTAATGGCCTACTAAGTTTGGTAATATAGCACACTTTATTGGGCAGAACTCAAAAATACACTTACACAATCAAATGAGATGAAATGAAACTATTACAGTCAGAAACCTAATTCGGTTTATTTGAATATGCTTGACATATAGACTTCCAACTTCGAGTGATATGGCTCGAAATCGTTTGCAATGGCGCAAATGCATCCACTCTTTGTGTTCTCCCAAATTATAATCTTCTGAATTCATGTCCCTTTTTTCTCTTTCCAAATTTATTTCACTGAATTATACTCCTTAGATAACATTTTCAAACCCTAATCTTTCCGATGACTGTTTATACTTTTACTAACTCTACCACAATGGAATTTAAATCACTGACTGCATCTCTGTGCTAATGTGGTATGGCAACTCGAACCGATGTACGTACGTACGAAGTTCTACGTTGTTACTGACCGACTGACTGTCCAACTTCGTAAAAGTTAGTCAGTTTTAAGATTTAGAGGAAATGACAGGAGGAAAATTGATAATGAGTATTACACGTGTTCTTATATATCTATTTTATTGTTATTTTATTTGAATACATAAACATTGGTACAAAGGTGGACATATGCGCCACACAGTAATGAGTATGTGAAGAGACAATGTAAGGTGTGTACGAGAAAAAGGGGAACAATAACGAACAGAAATTAGCGCATGATAGCGAAATAATAATAATAAGGGGAGAAGCAGTTCGGTTAGCGAAGGTATGACCAGAAAGAATTCTTCCAGTTAGAGTTGCGTCCATTTTTTAAGTGAAATAAAGTTACAGCACGATCGCTACTGGCTTCTGTTCTGAGCCATATCTGATAACGTCTCTAGCCACTTTGTTGCACCATATCTCGGACCCCAGTCAGGGAGTCGTGAAGGACCAACACAAGCCAGCCATTTGCAGCTTTCTTTCATACCACGACACCATGTCATATACTGACCACCTCTCTGCTTTTTACAACCAGCCCCAGAGTCGGCAAATAATGCACGACGTGGAATTCTCTGAAACGACATTCGTAGAATATATCCAAGTCACCGAAGTCGGTGTTTCAAGATGGTGACATCAATTGCATTATCGCCTCTGCACCCAAACACACGATGCCAAACCGCTGCATTACTAACATGGTGTTGCCACTGGATGTCAGCAATCCTTCGGAGACAACGATGATCCAACACAGAAAGTTGTCCAACGTCCTCAACTCGGAGAGTCCAGGTTTCACAAGCATAGAATAAAACTGCTCTCACCGACGCGTTGTAGATCCAAATCAGGGTCTTGCCAGTCTTGTAGAAGTACTTTGCACTTCGAAGGTGCAAAGCACATACCGTACCTACGGACACTGATTGCCAACTGATTAAGTGCGGATTGCATGGCTTGGGTATTATCGCACAGTAAGACAATATCATCCACATACTCAAGGTCGAGAGGTCCGTCTCCATGCAACAGATCCACACCGCCATTACTTAAATCCATCAGAGCTGTTTCCAGAATGTCATGGATGGAAAAGTTGAAGAGGAATGGTGAGATTGGGCAACCCTGCTTAACCCCACTGCTGGAATAGAACAATGGAGAAAGGTGGTTGTACGCTCTCACTGTGTATGAGGTGTTTGTATATGGGGCTTTTAGGATGTTAATAAACTTTTCAGGCACACCCTATTTCGATAGACAATCCCAGAGAACATTCCTGTCCAACGAATCGAAGGTAGCCCCGATGTCAAGAAACACGATTACTGGCCTGTGATAAGTATGATGGTGTTTTAACATTTGACGAAGAGTTGAGATATGGTCAAAATAACAATTGCTCTTATCTGGTAGTATCTTCATAATGATATGGCTTACAGCAATCAATGAACGCATAGATTGATACCAGATCTTCGCCAACCCTCCTCAGACTTCTTCGGACCTACTATCATGACAACCAGCAATATAAGATCAGATAAGGAGTACAGGAGAGTATGGAACTTATATTCCAGTCACTTCGATTAATGAAGATTTACAATCTTGATATTTCTGTCAGATATTCCTCAGCTAATTTTACATTAGTGTTTATGGTATATATGAGTGGTACTTCCAATATCTGTAATCGGGCACTAGAAACCCGTGTTTCAAGGATTATTAGATAGCTGTTTCGTTTAAAAAGCTGCATTGATACATGTCCTTTAGTGGTCACTTTTCTCATTATGAGAATACAGTACGTTGATTGTGCGGGAAGAAAATGGTCGACCGTCCAACGATTTGTAAACATGCTGAAATTGTTTTTACCTATTTCAAGGATAAGCAAAATGAACTTGAAATTTAGCCATTCGCGGGTTCTATTAACTCAGTTTCGGATTAAGTCGAAGTAGTGACGCTCTCGTCTGATTTGGGGAATCGACCTACCATGAAATTGAATTGTTTGCTTGAAGTGAGTACAGGATATAACGGTTTGATGTTAGCGAAATATAACCTGACTGTTTCGAGAAACATAGAGGGGATAATTGAAATGCATTTCTTTTTCCAAGACGGATAGGCATCAGTGGTTGGAGATCGGGTGACAGGGCCCAGAATTGCAATGGGTTGGATGTATTCTCACTGCTCTGCTTTAGGTTCTAAATAGCCTTGTACAAAATACAAGCCGGTGTATGCAAGAACCAGGTTCTGAGTTGCATACAACTAAATACCTAGTCTTATGAGATCATACCAGTTTGCCTTCTTTTTCGATAACTACTGATGGTCAGATCTAGCATAAGACATGGGACAAGAATACATCAGACTTGATTGCAACACATTTCCAGATGACATAAAAAGGGAAGACGAGATGGCATTAAACGTGATAAAATCCATACAGAAAAAACGGTTACTAATAAGATAATATCAAACAATAGAAAACAGCAGCAACAGAAAAGTGATACTGAAGTGAAATTACTATACTACAAATGTAAGCTGTTCGTTCCAATCCCTGACTTGGCATACATATTTCCGGATCTAAGATGAGTGTATACTCTGAGAAATGTGAGTTATAAGGAGACAAAATTAGGACATCGTAAACTAAGATATGAAAATGTCAAAAAATCATGCATCATAGACTTACTCAAAATCGTCAAGTAGACTGCCACTTTGAACCTTAATCTGGTCGATGTACCGCTCAAATGAGTTATCCGAACGTAAAACTACATCAAGTATATGATGGGGTATTCAACTAACCTAATGTGTAAAGATGTGTCTTCTTGTCTGAAAAGTATGACTCCAGTTCTGGAACAACCTTTTTAGCGTGCTTTTCCTCATACACACCAGTCTTGGGATTTTTGTGCCGGAAAATAAAGTGGAACTAGAAATAAAATTAATGTATATTTCTTAAGTACTTTGTTTTCTAGTCCACATTTGTCAGGACCGAACATAATTGTATACGGAGTTTTGTCGTTAAATTGTTTCTTAACGAAGTTAACGAAACTTTAAGAACTTACCAGGTCCAAATTTGGTGAAGCACTCAACAACTTTATGTAGGCGCCACCACAATCGATCCCATCTTGGAACTTGACATCATACTGGATAACAAGCTCGTTGGTGTCAAACTTTATTGGCCTGAACAGTTTTGTCGAAACAGCATGATGTTTGGCCTTGGATTTGAGAACCAGTGCATGATCATTTTCTATCGCACTGGTATATGGCACTTCAACAGACCAAACACCATCATACTTCGCAATCGAGTCATCTATACCATCTTTGCGTGCCTGGGAGACTACGAGTCTGGAGAGAAGGTTAGAAAACAAGTCAGTTACTTCTCAGTAATATCTGATGGTGAGTTAAAGAACAGTGCGAGGTAAGCATTTTTAGGGATATTTGGATTTTTGAATGACGGCTAAGGAATTTAGAATTAAAGCGTACATACTTTCTTGTTTTCGACTTCAGGTGCTGTAGCAGCATCATCAGCCTTACATATCAATAAACAGAAAGGCAAAGACAAAAAAATGAATCTTAAGATCAACATGTCTTCACGTCCAACTGTAACCTGGCGCTAGACTGTTTTTAATCGTGCCCGTTCCTTATTGGTTAATTACGAGAACTGAAGCGATTAAAACAAGTAAAGTTACAATCACCGGAAGGTATATAAATTTAAAATCCTAAGTAGATTTCTCACACACGTGCGATGTCAGTAACACCAGAAAAACGAGTTAGTTGTTGGATCTGTTATGTTCGTTAAGACCATCTAACAACATCAGGCATCTGAATGTGATCATTTTCAGAAGTCCTGTTGCTAAGATCTAGTAGGACAGTTGAATTCCAGAACCATAGCTCTTCTATGACCATATTTTAGTTTAGAGAGCTTTATTCCTCGAGCTATCTTGACTGAATAAAAAACATTATAAAGGACATCCTTTTGAAACTATGTCCTCCAAAATCATGGATCTGAAGCTTTTCAGATATTCTAAGAAATAGGAACTTATGTTACACTGTATTTTAATTGTTTATTATTGCTCCATTGTTGGGCTGTTATTATGTAGTAATCATAGTACCGTAGTTTTCTTTTTTATTTGGGAACCAAATTGTCTAGTACTTCGAGGTGTCTAGTCGGAGTCAATTACAGGAAGCCAACTGCCGACATCGAGTACGATAGTCGTATGCTGAAAGGACTAACCCGCTCTACCCTTCTCGGTTTCACACACATCCTGATTCTAGGGGACTTTATTCTCCCTAGAGTCAACTTCGCGGAACACACGTACACTGGAGGCGACAACTCAATTGAAGCTCGGTTCTTCAACCTCATCGATGACTTAGGCTTATATGAAAATGTGAGGTCGGCAACTCGTTGGAAAAACAGTCAGACACCATCGCGCTTAGACTGTGTATTCACAAACGGAGAATTCCTAGTTGACAACCTCTCAATCCTGGCTCTTCTGGGAAAGAGCTATCATGCCGTCGTAGCCTTCAGTTTTGTCATCAAAACTAAGCTAAGGTGTCCCAACAATAATTTGCGTTGGAATATTAAACGGCTGAATGTGCCAGCTCTACATGACTATCTACAACAGGTGGTTTGGGATGTTCACCCCAAACTCGATGTGGACGGTCATTGGAACTTCTTACTGCACACGCTCTTATGTGCTATAAACCATTCAGTTCCTCAAACGGTTCCCAAAAGCTGCAAGCCACCTACAGTAATCAAGAAACGTACCCTTCGCCTGCTAAGCCGCAAAAGGCACTGTTGGGCGGAATACAAACGAACTAATAACGACGGAGCGTATAGGCAATATAAACATATCAGGAACATATGCACGAAGGCTATAAGAGAAGACAGGCTTCAGTACCAGACAAAGCTTATGGACAAATTTGCCTCTAACCCTGGAAGCCTATTCCGTTATGCAGTCTCTCTTCGTCAAGCCAAAACAGGAGTTTCTCAACTGCTAGGTCTTAACGGCCTGACCAACAACGATGGCGACGCCGATAACCTTCTGGCGGCACATTACTCTCAAATATTTCAACATCAACTTTATTGACGACAGTTTCATCTGCGATTCCACAGGACTTTGCGGAGTTGACCTAAGCGCTGACTTGGTGTTCGGAAATTGCAGCACTTAAGACTAGATACTTCTCCTGGCCCGGATATGGTTCATCCTGCCATACTGAGGGAGGCAGCCTAAATCCTAGCAACGCCGCTTAGAGTGATGTTTTCACACTCACTAAGCCGAGGCAAATTACCGGAAAATTGGAAGTTGGCTCACATCACACCAATTTTCAAAGGTGGTCGACGCAATGAACCTTCAAGTTATCGGCCGGTGGCTCTTCTGTCATTACCTTCAAAACTCACGGAGTCCCTGATATGCGACGGTTTAAACGACTATCTACTGTCCTTAAATTTCTTCTCACCCCAACAGCATGGTTTCAGGAAGGGTTACTCTTGTATAACCAACCTGCATACTACGGTGGACAGATGGACAAGCATCCTCGATCGCAAGGGAAAGGTTTATATTATTTACCTTGATTTCTCAAAAGCTTTTGATAAAGTTAACCACTTCTGTCTTATCGATAAGCTCAAACGACTAGGTATCAAACCACCTCTAATCGATTGGCTTACTTCATACCTAAAAAATCAACACTTTAAGGTTAGGGTTAATTTCACTTTATCTCAGGCTATGGAATGTCCTAGTGGGGTCCCCCAGGACTCAGTATTAGGGCCTCTTCTCTTCTTGATCTACATAAATGATCTTCCTCAACAGGTTACGTCAGACTTATTACTTTTCGCCGACGACGTGAAACTTTGGAGAGAGATACGCAACCAAGACGATACACAGGCACTTCAGGAGGATCTGACTCGACTTCAAAGTTGGGCAGACGATAACGGACTTACTTTTACCACTTCAAAGTGTAAAGTATTCCATCTGCGACATGTCGCAAACTACAGTTACAACTTAGGAAACTCCTCTCTAGTAGTATCCAAGGTCGAAAAAGATTTAGGAGTTCTGGTGCCCCATGATTTAAAATTTTACGCTAACTGTAACAAAAATGCCTTCCGAGCAAACATTGCACTGGTGACGTTGAAGCGCGTTTTTGGACAGTTTGACGGAAGAACTTTCCATACAATCTTCAATAGTTTATCCGTCCTCATTTAGAGTACGGAAACATAGTGCTCCCCCTCACTCCAAAAGGACAAGGTCACTTTGGAGCGTACCCAACGGCGAGCCACGAAATCATTTCGAGGACTCAAATCTAAGCCTTACGAAGAACGCCTCCATTCACTAGACCTTTACCCATTAGAGTACAGGCGTCTTAGAGGTGATTTATTAATGGCTTATAGTATTCTTAACACTTCTGGACATCCTCTTAAACACCTACTTATGCTTTGTTCGAGTAATAACCTAAGGGGTAACACCCAGAAACTGAAAACTCAACATAGCAAGACGGAATGTAGACACAACTTCTACTCCTTAAGAGTTGTCAAAAGCTGGAATCCGCTGCCGGCCTAGCTAGTCCAAGCGACTTCTCAGGAGTCCTTCAAGAGGCAACTTGACCTATTCTTAAGTACCAAGGATAGTATCACACTATGATTTACCAATTTCTTTTCCTCTTTTATTGTTAACATACCTAGGTTCCTGCCTGAAGGATTTGGTGATCCCCTGCTACTATACACGGAAGCCTGTTAAGTGAAAGCTTCTTCTATTCCGTCCACAACCATTTGAACCATACTCGTCTTATCGACCACAGTATCTATAGCTTGGTCAAGCCTGAAGGTAAGTCTTGGACAAGCAGAGTCAAACCATTTCAAGAGCTTGGTTTTAATACTCTTTAGTAATTTTTACTCAGAAGAACAAATTATAATTAAAACGGTCTCCAATGGTCTAAAACTCCTAGTACATTACGACTGCACAGAAGCACACCCAATCATTCACAGTCCTGAAGCTTACATGGATAGTAGTACATACAAATACATATAATGACAGGAAATTTTCACAAAAGGTGCAATCAGAGTATATGCATAAGTGGTATCCTAATCTTGTCGGGGAAATGTTTTGGCCCTTAAAACCTATTCCATCCAAATAACTTCCTGCCACCTTCCAGACCAACTGCAAATGTGCTAATGCAGTTATACTTCTAATCGAGCAGTGCTGCAACTCTTCGTAAACTCTCATGCATCCTTTGTAAAATGTAGCTTCAGCATATGTTCTACAAAAGTTTCGAGGGTAAACTTGTTTGCTCAAGTTGTCCATAGTCTACTGTGTCGTCTAAAAGATTCTCTTTTCTCTGGATATGCTATGCTAAAGGAAGCTTGTAGGGATGTTTAGAAAATAGTGTTGTATATACAAATTTTGTTTACATTTCTATCTTTTAAATCTTATCCATTTTGTATATCCTCCACTATTGTTTGCAAAGCCTGTTACCCAAAGTTTCGGTGTTGTTTGTCGATAACTGAAGGTAGATGGCTGAGTCATTTGATAATCAAAGATAATTATATAAACATAAGTACTCGATTTCAGAGCTTCCTACTTCCTCGCTATATGAAGGCGCTGTATTTCTTGTTCTCTCGAAATGAATGATATGACGTTTGTTTTTTTGACGGAGGTCAACCAAGCAAATTGTTTTCTACAGTCGTGTTGTGAACAGTATCCCCAGACGATTAAAAATTATTCATAACTTCAGGGCATAATGAAGTAATGAAAAGATGGGATTAACAATCTTATTAGTGTAAAAACACTCCTTTTATTGCTTTTCGCCAAACGTTTACCTTACACAATCCACTGATATCTATCTTTTGGGTCAATCCCTGTCTAATTTCCAGTACATGGGTTCCATGGTGAAACAGAAGGTATGAAAGTGAGAAACTTGAAAGGATTTTAGGCAATTATATTTTCTACGGTATTAGTTGTGTTTTAAATTATTCATTTGCGTAATATAATGCATCACATTCAAATCTTTACAGACCCATTCTGAATCAGGTTGCTGCGGAATACTAACTCGATTGTTAATTCAATAGTATTTCGCTTTCGATTCGGTTTTTCTAGGAGTTTTTATAACTAACGACTGGCTTAAAATCTGTTTCACAATGTAACAAAAAAGTAATCCGGGCGGTTCATTATTTTGGCAAATCATCTACCAATTCTATGAAAATTAATAACATCTGAAAACCATCAATGGTATGTTATACCGTTCTAATAAGATATCGGCATGAAGTCTTTAGGTGTAACATACTACGGTAAAATACTGTTATTTCCATTAGGAGAATCTCAAGTTTGGAATTAGTTCAACACTACTTCATTTTTCCTATTTCACTGAGCTAACTACTGTAGTCGCTTAGAAAGGGGTTATCTTTAAAATGTTCTTAACTGTGATCACGTAAATATTGTCCCAAAGTTCGAATTTATTTATTTATATATTCCATAATTTTATATTCCATTTATCTTCATGGATCAAGTCATTGAAATAATTGCCTAGGTTATTTTGGCACAGTTAAAATCACTTGCCATAACAAGGCTATAGTTTATTGATGTCATCACATTG